CAATATAGTAAAACATCAATGGCTTAGTGTTGCCTCTTTTTTAAGAATAGGCTCATTGGCAAGGGTGCCTTAGAACTTTGATGATGACATTGAAGTGCATTAAATGAGACAAAGCACTCAACACGTTATGAGCCTCACTTCATGGCTTAAGCGCACCTTTGACAACACTGCACAACAGAAGGGCGTTAAACCTTAAAATCCCCACACCTGCAATACAAGAGCATCTGAAAGGGTCTATACTCATCATCTGTCTTAAGGTTTCCAATTGGCTCTTCACGTTCTTTCACAAGCACCAATTTTTCTTAGTGATTGTAAGGTGTTATGTGATGAAACTGATGTATCGACAGTAGCTCAAGGTTCACTTAAAAAGATTTGTACACTTCGCTTTATCCATTTCATTCACCTACTTCATCAGCAATGTTTGGTAATAGATATCAATCATGGTTCTCTGTCCAGATGTACAGCTTCTACATTTTGATAACTTATAGCACAACATCAGATATGCAGCATATGCTTACTTGTTTGTAGTTCTTGGAAATAAGAACATTATGTCGTAGTGTTCAAATAAATTAGTAAACAAATGTTACTGTGGTCATTCCTTTAAATTTATTGATATAATGAGCAATTGTTTTGAAAATCATCTACTTGAACATCTTCAGCACATCCATGGGTCCGAGAAGGAGGGGATGCATCTGAGATTCCACTGGACATTTCTGTTTTATCCAACATGCGGCAATTTGTCAAATACAGTCGTCTAAAACAGTTTGCTTTACGTGTAAGCTCATTGCTTTCTTATTTCTTAAACCTTTTGTGATAAGGTAACTTCAGTATACAAAACATAAATTTCTGGATGCTGTTCCACTACTTGCAGGCGTTAGCTAGCACACTTGATGAGGAGGAGATCGCTGATCTGCGGGATCAATTTTCTGCAATTGATGTGGATAAGAATGGTGTCATCAGTCTCGAAGAAATGAGACAGGTATTGCTCATCTTTCGAGTTGGAGCTAGTTTCGTACTTACAACTCTCAATGGCCATTGGCAAACATTGGAGACATCTCTATTTTGTGTTATCTTGATGCAAAAAAATTGTATATATGCCTTGATCAAAAACATTGTGTATGCATATGGTCGTCATATTTTTGGTGACTTACCACGTTCATTTCCAATGCAGGCCCTTGCAAAGGATCTCCCATGGAAAATGAAAGAATCACGAGTTCTTGAGATTCTTCAAGCGGTAAACTTATTTATCTAGTAATGAAGCATCAGAGCAGAACATGACATCTAATAAATAATAAGATAATTATTACCAAGTATAAAACGCTTTTGTTGCCTTAGGCTGTTGCATGTTTGAAACTACTTTAATAATATAAAAAAAGAAGCATATTCAAAAAAAGGAAGATAATAGCAAGGATTAGGAAGCAAGTTCCTTTGAAGAATTGGTTATCAAATGCACCCAACAGTGTTGTGTAGCAGTCAGTGAAGTGGAATGAAAACCATGAAAGACTAGAGTTCATATCCGGTAAGAGGCCAAACATGTTAGGTGATTTCTTCCTCTCTGTCTGAGCATTATTGGGGCGAAGTTACCCGGTACTTGTGATGGTGGTAGATGGAGATATTCAATGAAATAGTTGAGGTGTGTGCAAGAAGATCATAGCAAAGGATAGCTCATAAGTGCAAGTTCCTTAGAAGAAATTGGTTATCAAATGCACCCAAGAGTGTTACCTAGATGTTAACGAAGTGGGATGAAAATCATGAAAGACTAGAGTTCAAATCCAGTAAGTGACAGAACACGTTGACTGACTTCTTCCCATCTGCTTGAGCCTTATTGAGGCAAAATTACTTGGTACTTGCGATGGTGGGAGTTAGAGACACTCGATGGAATAGTTAATGTGTGTGCAAGCTTGTACTACACCATTTTTAAATTGGTGACCAAATATTTGGGGATTTCTTTGTGTCAGATTGTATATTCCAAATTTTTCCTGCACCATAATCCTTGTTACAAACTTTACTCAATTGTCAATGCTAATATTGCTGCCAAGTGCCAACTAATATAATAATCTTTATAGTTTTCATCATATGCATGTTCATTACTTTCTACTATATGGTCTCTTCTGCAGTTCCGGGACCTAAAGTATTTTGTTCATTGCTTGGCAGATTGACAGTAACACGGATGGGCTTGTTGATTTCCCGGAGTTTGTGGCTGCCACTCTACATGTCCATCAGTTGGAGGAGCATAATTCTACAAAGTGGCAGCAAAGATCACAAGCTGCTTTTGAGAAATTTGATGTTGATAAAGATGGATTCATTACTCCAGAAGAACTTAAAATGGTTAGTATCATAGTATGTGATATTTTTACAGTCTTCTTCCAGGAGCAACAGTTCATAGCATTTTGGATGTCAGTTATTACCATTAACCATATCGTTGACCAACCCTACAAATCAATTAAGCAATTAACTACCCCTAAATGCCATGCTAGTTGCTCTGTATGAATCCTCTGTGTAATTTAGATGATTCATCATTGAAGGGGAGATTTGGCGTAACTAGTAAAATTGTTGCCATGTGACTTGATGGTCATGGGTCAGACTGTGGAAACAACCTTTTTTGTAGAACCGTAAGGCTGTGTACAATAGGCCATTGTGGTCTGGCCCTTCCCTGCACCCTGCGCATAGTAGGGAGGGAGCTTAGTGCACCGGGCTGCCCTTCCTATCATTGTTAGATTATTTTTATGCTGGTCGTCACTTAGGATTGAGCCATGGTTGATTGATACAATTGATATTATGGTGGTCATCTCTCCACTGCAAACCTCCTCCTTTATCCGGGTGCGGAACTTGGTTTGCTTTGCAAACCTCACTGAGACAGAAGATTGGACAACTCCAAATTAACACCCCCTTTGGCACCCCAAGAAAAAGACAGAAGAGAAGTAGCGAGAGTTGCTAAGAATTATAGCATGCTAACTCAAAAAATTACATGCTTCATCACCCTTAAGAGTGATCCACCGACTTTAGAAGGTTGTGATCGGTCCAAAGGGCGGTTTATAGAAGAATTTCTCGGTTATAATATGTTTGGCATCCACTTACATGATACTATTCTTTTGCAGCACACGGGCTTGAGAGGCTCCATAGATCCACTTCTAGAGGAAGCAGATATTGACAAAGACGGAAAGATAAGCATATCAGAATTTCGCAGACTTTTAAGAACTGCTAGTATGAGTTCACCAACGGTGAGAGATTCACGGGGAATGTAACTCTGTAAAGATGTATAAAACGGAGAGATGGACAGTGGACTTCATCAGAAAAATTTTGTGGGAAGACAGATGTGCGTATACATGTTCTCTTGTGCTTGTGCAAGTGTGCTGCATGTTCTCTACATGGATGGCTTCCGAGATGATGGTATTTAGAGACGTGTAGCTTCCACGTGGCACTTTGTAGCTAGTGGTCGTCGTGCCAAGTGTGTTTGTTGAGTTTCCTTTGCCCCCTTCATAAAAGAATTTGGCATGAAGTTGCTTCTTTCCCTGAACAACCAGTTGCAATGTCTTGTAATCTGGTAGTTTTAGTGTATATTCTGTCACTTTTGTGAGTCTCCAGGTTAAGTAAGTACTCCCTTCCAAGTTCTAATATTATGTCATCACTATAAATATGCCATCAATGTAAATTGGCTGTGTATCAAAAAGGTTTGTTCTGTATGATATAAGGCACATGTTCAGAAACTGTTGCCCATTTCTGTATCATCTTTTAAGCACTCTGCCACATCGAAATAGTCTATCGACAACAATCTTTCTCTACCCTACTGGATAAGGTTTGCGTAAATCATTCTATATTACTGATTATACATTATGATATACTGAAAAAATAGAATATTGTTTAACTGTACATAAACTATACACTAACCATACATTATGATACATTCAAAAAATTGAATATTGATTAACTGTACATGAACTATACACTAATCATACATTATGATACATGAGCTATATACACTTACAATACATTATGTTACACTCAAAAAATCGAATATTGCTTAACTATACATGAAGTATACAACTGACTATTCAGTCTCGATCAACTCAACATCCCCTCAAAACAGTCTCAAATTTTAGATATAAAATCCTTTTTAGTATTTTAATTTTTTTGACATACAATTTACTTAAAATGATTCACGTTTGCGCTACATTAGAAAAATGAAAGAGACAAGAAAGACTAAGGGCTCGTTTAACCATATATTTGAAATCATAATATGAAATTATGACACGAAATTGATGTTTTGTTTGAACATAAGATTTAAACTTTTTTATGTTGTATATTTTTTTTTTCATAAACATAAAAACCTATAAGTTGTAAAACTATTAAAATTCTTCAAATTCTTTATATAATCTTACCAAATAAGTAAAAGTTTATAAAACTACATACTCCCTCTGTCCCTATTTAGTTGTCTACTTTAGAAATGACACACATTGTAAGATAACAATAATTAACATAGTAAAATTATAATTTCACCCTGATTAATTATGATTTCAAAAATGATGAATTAAAATTTGGAAATTTTCGATAAGTTTAAATGAGGGTATAATAGAAAAAAAAAATTATCTTTTTTTATTTATCAAAGTGGACAAGTAAATAGGGACAACTAAAAAAGAGAAAATATGAACAAGTAAATTGGGACAAAGGAGTAATAATATATTATCACAAAAATATCCTTAAAAAAATTTACAAAATTTATTGATCAAACTTTAATTCAATAATTAGAAAAAAACTTGAATATAAGTTGTAGTTGCTTTAATATAATTTTTTCACATAGTATATACAATCTTTTTACATTAAACTTACATTTCTTGATCACATGATTGAGAAGACGAGCCAATATTGTTACTTTCATATATTTGTAGGTAAATAAATTTGATAAACCCTAATGAATTTGATGAATAAAAATAATAACTTAAGAATTGATCGTAAATTTTACGTTGACTAGAACAATTGAGATATAAATAATTTCAAAAGTAATGATATGAACTTAAATAGGTCAATTTTTGTACTTGTAAACTCCCAAATCATGCCTTTTGGGAAAAACTATTTTTTTCGCAGAGTTGATTTGCTTTACTACTACTGACCTCCATTGTTGGTTCTGCAAATCTTCTGATAAACTTAATTGAATTGGAAGAAGAATGAAGATAGTGACGTACAACGTGAACGGCTTAAGGCCACGCATACAGCAACACGGTTCACTTCTCAAATTGTTGGATTCGCTTGATGCTGATATTATCTGTTTACAGGAGACTAAATTGTCGAAGAATGATATTCGAGCCGATTTGGTTCGTGCTGAGGGTTATGAGTCTTTCTTCTCTTGTTGCACTCGTACTTCTGATCGTGGACGCTCTTCTGGATATTCCGGTAAGTTTCATGTTTAATACTATCTCCTTTTCTTTCTGTTAGGGCTTGTGTTAGGAATTTGAAACTATTTTTTTAAGGGTGAGTTTTGGATAGCCTTTAAAATAGTGTGCTTAAAGTTTAATAAAGAAATGAACTTTGGGTCCAAGGCTACCCTTAAAGCTTTCTCTTTTATTCAACTCCATATAAGGAGCTATGTGGGAGAATCCAACACCCTACACAGTGTACAACCAAGAGGACAAGATAAGGTGGCGGAAATTGGGATGAGCCTGACTCTGATACCATGATTAAAAAAATGGATTTTGGGTTTAATTCAACCTCAAAAGCTTATTTTGAGGTGAGGAGATGATTTTCTTACATATAAGGAGACCAAACTCCCATCACGTATAAGGATTTTTTTTTCTTATCTATTTTTTGACATTTCTCTTAAGATTTAGTATGTCTGAAGTAGGACAATGTAGCTAACGAAACAAACGATTCTCTTTATGTCTATTTGTCCAGGTGTTGCTACCTTTTGTCGTGTAAAATCTGCATTCATGAGCAATGAAGTAGCTCTGCCAATTTCTGCAGAAGAAGGCTTCACTGGTCTCCTCGCAACATCTAAAGGATATGAACCTAAGGAGGAGTGCGCTTCAATAGCAGAAGGTCTCGAGTGTTTTTCTAGAGAGGAGCTTCTTAAAGTTGATAGTGAGGGACGTTGTCTGATCACTGATCATGGTCATTTTGGTGAGTACATGCTATCCACGAAAACGACAGGGATGTCTGATGCTTAATAGTAATACAAATCACAGTCTAATTCTTTTTCCGAGCCTTGTCCTTCTCTTTTTCCAACTAACTATGTGATATGGCTCTTCAATTTTTCAAAAAACTTTTCCTTAATGTTTAGTGCACATTCAAGTTTCTTATTTCCTACCACAGTTTGGTGATTGGCAAATGTTTTCTTCTTGCAGTTCTATTCAATTTATATGGGCCCAGAGCTGTTCAAGATGACTCTGAAAGAATCCAATTTAAGCTCACATTTTTTAAGATGTTAGAGGTAATCAATTACCACTTCAGTTTTCAAATTATGAGAACCTGAGAATTCAAAATTATGAGAAGCTGAGAAATGATATTTTCTCCTATATTCAAATATGAAATTAGCTTTTGCTTTATTGATGAGGATGTCTTGCACCAAATATCTCAAGCATCCTGTATTCTTATGCATTGTGTTTGTTTTCTTTATTGGTCATTAGTTCACTACAGAGGTTCATTTGAAGTTTTAGATGCACCAAATCTTAACACAGATTGTTGGAATGAATGGGACCCAAATAGAGCAGAAAAAATACAGAGAATTCATATAGACAATCCCAACTGATTTGGGATCAGAGTGTAGTTGATCTAAATGTTATAGAAAAGATTGCTGTCACACACAACATTGAATATAGTGCATGCAAAGGATTAGGAAATGGATCTGAGTACTTCGAAAATCCTATTTAGACAATGTTGTGGGAATCCAATGTAGTTGCCTCATTGTTGTCATTTACCTAGGGATCAAAATCTCGACCAAGGCATGCATGACTGTGGCTTTGGAAAGTATCTATGTTATCTGGGATGTAAATTTACAATTCTTTAGCTGGGAGAAGGTTGTTGTTGAACATTATTTTTTGATATTTGCAGTTGTTCTAGTCTTTTCGAGTTGTAATGGCTGAAGGATTAAATATATATGGATGTAGTATATGATGAAGGATGTTTGGAATCCGGGGAGCTAGTATCATGCTTCAATTGCTTGCTTGCTACATGGTACATTAGTTTTGTGGGTTTGTTTAATAAATTTTTGGAAACGGAGACGAATCGGAGCGGAAATTACGAAGGACAGCAAGATGAATCTTTTTGAGGTTTCAGTTTTAGGAGGAACTTTCTAGACTGAGAAGTGTCGTAGTTCCAAAATCTAGTTGATCTACTTCACAAACAAGGAAAACCACAGAATAGCCAAGATGTATGGAGGTTGGAGAGGGAGTGGGGCAATGGATTGCTTTCTGTTTGTTCATTCTATGAGAAACTCCTTATTAGCGAAGAGGTTGAATTTCAACATAGATTGGTTTGGATTCCAGGTACTGCTAAAGGTGTGTTTCTTCAATTCGATTCTAAGAAGAGGAGTGATAATGTCCATCGAGTATCAAAGGAAGAGGAAGGTTATGTACATTAGTTGGTGTTTTCTGTGTAAAAGCTCGAGTGAAGACGTTGACCATCTCCTCCTTCATTGTCAGGTAGCTCGAGGTTATGGTGGAAATCCTGTTGGTTTGGACTATCTTGAGTTATGCTAGACATGGTGAAAGAGTTAATGTTCAGTTGGAATTGTGATAGATGGAAGAGGAGACGCAGGGCATGGAATGTTGCTCCACTAGCTCTTATGTGGGTTATTTGGAGAGAAAAAACTAGGTGAGCTTTTGAAGATGTTGAGATGAACTTTATACAATTGAGGAATAACCTCTCCCTTTTTTGGTGCACCTGCGAGGTTCTTTTGTGCATAGAAGATTGAATGTTGTTTGTAGAGAAGCATATCTTTTTTTGTAGGTCTTCTACTCTTTTCTATACTAACTGCATATGGGCGTTTAGAGTCGACACATCAATAAAGATATTACTTCATCAAAAAAGGAAAAAAGACATGGCTAATTTCTCAAGGATGACTTGGTCATTCTTCTAGAGCTTTTATCGTTTTTGTGGCATCTTGAGCCCTCTTGGTGATAGAAAGGTGGCTATGATTGGTGTCATCCTTTGGTGTGTTTGCTTACTTAAATTTCTCCTTTCTTTTAAAGAGAAGGATTGGAAAAATCAAGTTAACTGTTATATTTTTTATAAAGGGGCAAGGAAATGAAAGCATCAATTTGATTGATGTTTTTACTAACATGCTTTACGGTTGCTTATTTATGGTTGTTTAATGTTACTGCAGTGACTTGTACTTCTCTTTCTATTTTGTTAACCAATTATTTCTGCTTTTTACTCATACCTGCCATCTTTTCATGGATATTATGTCTATTACCATATTTCTTCACTGACTGCAGAAATTGCCTGTTATGTACATTGTAAACCTGCATTTCTGAACTTCATACTCTTTGCTTCATACTAGTAATCTTTATGTAGAGAAGATGGGAGTGCCTGATGCATCAAGGAAGGAGGATTGTTATTGTAGGTGACCTCAATATTGCTCCTGCTGCCATAGATCGGTGCGACGCAGAACCTGATTTTGAGAAGAACGTGTAAGCTGTTTCCTGAAATTTTTTTATTTGCAATAACAGTTACCAGTTAAAAAAAAAATATATTTTATATGCACTGTATAAATTAATTCTTTTGTATCATCTTTTAAGAAAACAATTCTGCTTAGTAAATGGTTAATTTTCACTGCGTTGCAGGTTCAGACAATGGTTTAGATCATTGCTAGTGCAAAACGGAGGGCGTCTCCTTGATATTTTTAGAGCAAAGCATCCTGATAGGTTTCTCTCTTTCTATTTATATTTACTTTTGTAGTTTCTTAATCCTCACTACACGGCTAAGGGGAAAAGGGAGGAAATCGTATCCGATGTTAATTCCTATGTATCTTGATCATTCACTGCACATTTTTTCTAAAAAAGACGCATATGGGACGAGTTTTTATTTGATTCTCGAGGTCAATTAAGAAATAAGAGTATTCATCTTGATTTCCTTCAAATTTTTTATTTATTGTCATCTTATTTTATGAACCTTTTGTCGACTTACTTCATCTGATGTTTTGCTACAGGAAAGGAGCCTATACTTGCTGGTCACAGAGTACAGGAGCCGAGGAATTTAATTATGGTTCTAGGATTGATCACATACTTAGTGCCAGATCATGCTTGCATGGTGAGGAAATTCAGGAAGGGCATGACTTTGTTACTTGCAATGTTGCAGAGTGTGACATATTGATGAAATTTCAAAGGTGGAAACCTGGAAATACGCCAAGGTAAACATTTAGCTATTCATAATATGGAAATTACATGATTGCGTTCTGTAATTATAGGCAAGTGAGGATACTTCTGAAATAGATAATAATTTTACTTAGCAGCTTAATGTCAGTATACCTTAGTTTGATCAGATTACCTGGATGCTTTGCTGCGATGGAGAGAAATGTGCTCTCTTAAATCTGTCATGTTACAGTTTCTGTTTGATCTGTTATAGTGATTATAGCAAGTAAATTCCAGCTAGTATTCTTAGTTATCACTCTCGTTTCCCGTGAAAATATATAGTGCAAAAGAGAATTTCTGGCATTATCAGATTGGTTAATCACATACATGATATTGGCCAACTTATATTAGGTTTTCAATTGTTCATTATTGTTCATATTAGCAACTTTTATCACTCATGGTTGTCTGATAGCATTGTGATTGAGGTTCTGGCAATCACACTTTAGATATCTACACTCCACAGGTGGAAAGGAGGGAGGAGCATCAAATTAGAAGGTTCTGATCATGTTCCAGTTTACATGAGTTTAGTAGGAATTCGTGAAGTATTGCAGCATAGCACCCCGCCATTATCTACCAGATATCATCCCCAGGTCTTTGGGAGTCAAACTCTTGGTGAGAGTTTAGTCAAGTTATATTAAAATATCAATTTTCTTGGAGACGTTGTTGTGTTTGTTTAACTGGAACTTTTCTGATATATGTCTGCTCACACAATTCGCAATCACTTTATATCAAGTTTGATGTTATTTGTTCCAAAATTAGTTTCCAGAATGTTATAGAAATCTTTAGCCGTTTTGCGTGATGTGCAAATAAAAAGTATTGGTTTAATATTGATGGGAGTAGGTAGTTATCAAGCAGCAAACAATCTCTTGCAGCTAAAGCTGTTTTCTTCTTTTCGGGGGCCAGTGAATGCTGTTTGGATGGATTTAGTTAACTGACGGCTAGTTGTTCATGCTGATTACCTATGGATCAAATCAATCTCTTATTTCTTCTCCAAGTTTAAATCAATTCAAAACAGAAAGAGTAGAAGAGAAATCAAGTCACTTAGATTTCTTTCTCTCTCCCTCATTATAAAATAAAATTAATACATTTAGCAAGCTGTTAGTCTCAATTACATTTTGTCTCCTGGAAGAGAGGTCGTCATAATATTGAAAACTAGAGGAAAGTCCTGGGAATTTTACTTGAGAAAAAATAATCTAACTTATAGCTTCTATAAGCCAAAGACTTTTAAATAATTAGAAGGCAGTTATTGCAACCAAAAGGATCATCTATGATTGCCAATAAAGTGATACGTGGGGTTTGTGATGTACATATTACATTACTATGACTGATGTTCCATCTTTTATCAAGTATAAGTAGTTGAGTTTATTCTCACCTAGTTGAGTTTATTCATCAGTCATTTAAAGGGTGCCCTCTTGACCTTCGTGTAAGCACTAATAAATTATGTTCAGTCTGGTTTTTGTTAATATGGCGCAACATTGCGCTCTGTGTTCAGTTTATCACATTGTAGTTTGTCTTTTGAATTTCCTTCTCAAAAGTGCAGTGTCAATGTTCACGAGAAGGCAAACAACTGAGCAAGTTATTTCAGAGGAAAGTGAAATCCCTCACATTCCAAGTCAGGAAGACTTTCTTTCAACTCCAGAGACTTATGATAGTAGAGCTGCGCAGATTTCGGTGCTTGGCTCTCAAAGCAACTCTAATATTCTTCCCTGCATTGCGACCAAGAAGAAAGCGAGGCTTGGTCAGGGGTCTCAGCTCACACTTAACTCATTCTTCCAGAAACGCACACATAGAAGTGAGACTTCTAGCAGCAGCTTTGCTGATTCTAAACTTTGTCAGACAGACATCTCTTACTCTCAGATTGAGCCTGATGGAGTGCCTTCTTCTGCTGATGAAAGTGGCGCTTCAAAGGACTGCAGATCAAGTGCAATTGACAGTAATCAACATAAGTGCCAGCTAGATGCATGCGACTCAGATAAAGAGAAGAGGAAAGTGGCATTACAGGAGTGGCAAAGGATTCAGCAATTGATGCAGAATAGTGTACCTCTTTGTAAGGGCCATCAAGAACCTTGTGTTCCTCGGGTCGTTAAAAAAGCAGGGCCCAATTTGGGCCGCAGATTTTATGCTTGTGCTCGAGCTGAGGTATGCTCCAGTGTTAGTGGATTGAGATATTTAGAAATACCAATTTAAGTTCTCTTTTTTTATGAAGTAGTTGTTTCATTTCTGGAATCAAGAAGATGAAAGTTACAAAAGTAATCAGTTGTTATCTCCATTACATTTTTTCACAGTTCAGGCCCAGAGAGCTAACCAAAAATATACAGAAAAACAAAAGGTTGAGGGATTTAGCTAGATTGAGTGAGCTGATAAATCTAGGAGGATAACAATACTATTTACACGGGGAGGCGGGGGGGGGGGGGATCAGAAGGTTGTTTGGAGTTGAAAAGCCATAAACATGTTTGATACCTTTCTTGCCGTAGACACCAAAAGATACAGGCTGGGATCATCTTTCGAATTTCCCCATTGCCCTGTCAAGTTTTCCATTTACAACACCCTTCTAATAGCATCCTATACCCTAAGGTGGAGCCCAACTTAATCCCAAGATTGATCAGAACATATCCACATACTTTCAGCCACTGGATTGTGTAGGATAGATGATTGATGTACTCTGAGTTGTGCAGACACAAGTAGCATCTATTGGTCAATTGGAAGTTCCTTTTACAGAGGTTTTGAGTTAAACAGGCTCCTTTGAGAGCTATCAGTGTGAAACATATAGTCATTCTCGGAAGCTTTGTCTTCCAAATAAGCTTCCAAGACTCAATGATTGCATTTGTTAAATTTCGATCCCGATTGATTCATATCAAAAATTTCGATCCGAGACATGTGGTTAAATTTGAAGCGATTCTATTCATCCTACGACAACCCTTGTCGGTGATTCAAACGATGATTGAACTTTATTGACTCAAGCAACCACAAAAATCATACAAATATATTTTTTTCCTCCATTGTCCTTATATTTAGTTACTTCCCTAAAGTTGTTTTTTCTAATTAGAAATGTCCAAGTAAATCCCAAGTAATTAGCTTATTGTAACACTAAATATAGCCAACAAATGTATAATGCACATATATTTTTCATACACATAATTTTCTCAGTAATAAATAACTTCTTTTTTTTTAGTTTCTTTATATTAATATTGGAGTTAATTTAGAGAAATACTATAATTCCTTAAACATATTACTCAAAAATATTTATTTTATGCAGAAAGTGCTTATTTTTTTGAAAAATAAAGGTGTTTGACTATATATATATATATATATTTTACAATAAAAACTAGAGCTTTTGAGTAGTAATAGAAGCTATCACTCATAAGACTCAGGTTAAGCTCGGTCTCGGATGATGCATGCAGACCTTGGCTGGCATCGCCTATCCGAATGCTTTCACTCAAAATGGAACATGGCAATACTGCTGGAGACTGAACAAGTTTGTTTGGTACTTTGATCTCTCAACATGAAGTTTATGGAATGATGAGATGTTTGTATTACTTGTTGACTTGAGAAATGATCCTTAGTAATATATAGCATTCTTGATGTTCATTCTGACAATACATCAACTAATCCACATGCAAAAGAGAAGCAAAATCAGTGTCTTGCAAAGTTAGTCTACCTAAGTACAATTCACTAATATGGTCAGAGCATAAAGGGATGCATCTCTTATTCAAATTCTCATGTATAGCACCCATTCCTGGAACCCAAGGATCCAAATTAAGAACATTCTGAAGTAATCTAATTCGGTAGACAATAGTATCTCTTCTGTCACAAAAATGAGCAGCACAACAGTAAGAGGGCTCATCAGAAGCTAATCTAATCAACGTCATCCCTAGAGAACCATCCACGGGATTTGGATCAATGAGAACGTTATCTCCCATCATTTTGACTTCCCTTTCTGTGGGAAAATACATTTTTTCGACCCCATCAACATTAGAAACTTTCAGATCCTTGGTGTAATGTCTGATTGCTTCCTTCTTTGAGGATTCATGCTTCTCTGCTAAAGTCAAGATGCACGAGAATCTTAAATGATAAGATACTATAATCTTCAACTTTCTGAAGTTGTGGCAGCAGCAAAAGAAATCAAGCCACCTTCTCCCAATACCAGCATACCACTTGATGATATCAGCATCTTCAAGAACCATAAGTAAACTAATCGGCCTAGGACGGCCCATATGATTTGTAAATCCAATCAGTTTGACTGCCTTCTTAACAATTTCTAAGGGCGCCTCAACTTTTATGCATAACTTTGTCAGATCTGCCACAGTCTGATCAGAGTATTTCCGCTCCTCTTCTTCCTCTGCTATCTTTGCTTGTTCCTCTAACATCCTTTTTGCTTTGATGGGATTTATGTACCTGTCAACTTGCTCTTGAAAGTTGTCATAAGCATCTACAAGTTCACGGGGCAGTTGATCTCTGATCCTTTTCAAAGAAAGGAAGTCACCAGATGAGAGCATCCGGTGCCATTCCCAACGATCATCGACAGATTCCAAAAAGTCTTGCATTACCTCTTCAGCCCAAGAATCAAAGATTTGGTTGACTTCACTCTCAATCTGGAAATCAGTTTTGAAACCATTGGCCCGCTTCATTTTCTTAAATACATGACTGAATATCTTCATTCCCAATTTCTTTCTGTTACTCTCTTTAGCATTTCTTAACTCCAAAGCTCTAACTTCTTTCTGCCGGAGGTACTTCTTCCTCGCCCTGATCGCCTTTTGTGACATTGGTGGGTGCAAGACAGACGGCTTAACCGCCTGAAGCTCCATCCCCAAAAATTCAATCTTCTCAGAAGTAGCACTATGAATAACAGTCTTAACCTTATCAATACCGAATTCCATATCTCTCTCAAGAATCTGCACAAGCCTACTCTTCAAATCCAAAGTCATCATCTTTGTCCCCGACGTGATAACCAATATCTCATCCAAACACCTAACTGCATATATCTTCAACGGCTTATAGAAAGCATTCCCCTGATATCCCTCAGCAAAGTCATTAGCATCAACTCTCGGATTCTCCCGACTCGTTTTAAGCCTTAGTTCTTGAATCTCCTTATCGAAACTATTAAAGTAAATGTTAATCAAAATTGAACTCAATCCACATTCTTGAGGAAGCCCTCTACCTAAACAACAACCACCCAATTGAATATTCACTATTTCAGACTCAAACAGCACTTCTATTAAACCAATCAATGCCTCATCACTAATTTTCTCTTCCATAACCCTACACAACCTATCAACATGCTTATTTTCAAATTTTGCAGTATTCAAACAAACAGTAAACCACCAACTTGGGTTCTCAACAGAGTTCTTAAGGTAACGAATAGCGGTATGTCTTCCCATATTAACACGTCCACCATAACAAAATGTCACAAATCTATCATTATATATAGATTCAAGAACCATTCTTATAGCTTCAATAACTACTTTAAGCTTCAAATTAGGAAGCACAAGTGGTTTACCTTTAACTGAAGATGGAGGGATAGTAAAGCCACAAACTTTGACATCAAATTGATTCGTAGAGAGGTGATAAGAGAGCTCTTGAAGTGAGAAAAAATGAGTTGAGACAAAATCAAGAGTGAGGGTATTCTTGTCATTTGGTTTGAGATTGTGGCAAGCTGTGAGAAGGAAAGAGGGTAAAGCGACGACGTTTTGGAGGAGATTGTGAAACTTGCCATGGTGATACTGGGAGAGAACGAGGTTTTTGATATCTGATTGAGAGAGGATTTTTGTGGGGTTTTGGTAAAAGGGTGAAGATGAAGGAGAAAGGGTTGAAAGGTGGAGTTTTGGAAGTGAGAAAAGTGTAATCTTGGAAGTAAAGTACAGTGTAGTTCTTCTGAGCATTTTCAGTTTAAAATTTGACGTTCGCTCTGCTGTAAATCGCCTCCGAGTAAAGAAAAACTGATGTTGAAACTATCAGCTCGGCGTTTGAGAAGCTGCCGCCGTCGCCGGCGGCGGAAGATGAGAGATGAGTTTGATTTCTCCGACGAGGATCACGACGGGAAAATCACCGACGACGAATTGTTCAATGTGCGGAAGAAATTTGTTTCCCTTCCCTCTTTTCCCAACATATTTTATTTCTTTACTTTATTAAATCTCTTTTTTAAATGGACAACTTTCACGTATAATAAATAAAAAATTTATATTTATATGATATAGTAAAATTTGCATAATTATGCTTCATAGCAAACCATTAATAACTATCGATATTTTAAAAGAATGTGAATAACATATAAAATCTTCAAAGGAAGATTGTGTTTTTGATGAAAGATTAGTTGATTTCATCTAAATATTATTAGCTTAATTAAATGAGTGTTACATATTTCGAAGGAATTTCTAGTTATATCACACTTATATGCATATTTAAGTCTAGATATTTACTAAACTTTTTTAGTTTGGAGATGTAAATAGCTTAGTAGATTTTGGAATTTGCATATCAAAGAGAATCTAATAAAAGGGACATAAATATTGATATTTTGTAATTTCACAAATATTATACTCTAAACGAAATATGATTTAATATCTTCAAGCAAACAACTAATCAACCACCTTATAATCAGCCCATGTATTTCAATCCTACATATTTATCAAAGATCCACCACCCCTTTTTCCCTCTTCTACTCTCTCAACCCCCACCCCAACCTATATGGAAAAAACTATATTTATGTATAAGTAGAATTTATATTTATATATATATATATATATAAGTTTTATAAATGGAGATATCAGTATAAATTTAAGGTATAACTCATCGGTAGCCACTTAAAGTTGACATCAATTTTCACTTGGACATCTCAATTAGGTCTTATTCATTTTAAACACCTCAAGTATGGAGACATTGTGTCATGTCGACACGCTTTTTACAACCAGCAAAATATATAAGATGTGTGTATTACACTCGCTGATGACGTGTCAAAGTAACGAATTAAATAATGACATGTGGCATATATTTATATATTTAAAAATTAATAAAATAATATACTATGAATAACTCATTTTAAAACTATTTAATTAATTAATTACTTTAAAAATTACCTTTTCATAAAAACAAAAAAGGAAAAAAAATCTACAGCACCTTTAGTTTTCTCCTCCACCATTTTCATCCTTCACCATTTCCGCATCTCCTCCTCCTCTAACAGCTATTACTTTGATGTTTTTTTCTTCAAGTTTGAAGATTATCACTACTATCATCTTTTTCTTCAAATTTATATAACTAATTTGGGTCATAAGCAAATATCCATAATCCAAATATCATTCTATTACTCATAATCTAACTATCATACAATTACCCCCCCCCCCCCCAAAAAAAAATTATTCATGATAAAATCATATCTATTTATGAATTTATTTGAAATGGGTTCATCAAAATAGAAAAATTTAAAAGTTTTGAGAAGGAAAATTAGTATTTCAAAAACTGAATCTGAAAAAAAAAATCAACTCAAATAGAGAATGATGAAAATAGACCAACAAACATTTGAAGGATTAGGTTAGCTTTCCGACAATGAAACTATGAAAAAAAAAATTGATAGAAAAATTTGATATCATGAAGAAGATTTATGCTCTAGACATATTTTTTGGTCCTTTCTTAAATTATTTTTTTATATATATAATTAATTTAATTTTCCACACAAAAAAATGACAAAAGAGAGGAGAAAGTTGAATATACAATGGTGGTAAGGTGGTGGTATATGGTGGAGGAAATGTGGAAAGGAGAGAGAAGGAAGAAAAAGAAATTAAAAAGTGTAAAAATTATATCTTCCACGCGCTCAAAGTAAGTGTTAAACACATAATGTCAATTCAGTAAAAAAAATGTCAAAATAACATAATTGGATCTTACTTTAAGTGTCTTGAATAAACATCGTTTAATTGAGGTGTCTATGTGAAAATTGATGTCAATTTTAGGGGGTACACCAATGGATTTGGCCAAAATTCAAAGTATTCATATGCTAACTATACAATTAATACATTTACCTTATTTAGTTCATTTTAATAAAACTGTACGAGGGTATAAATAGAAAAATAAAAATATATACAAAAATATGGCTAGAAAAAGACATAAATTTTAGTTTTTTTTTTACATATGTATATATAAATAACATTGTTATAGTTATTGAACTTTAATAACTCCATATATATAATTAGTTTTGTAAATTGCTCATAAATTATTAAGTATATCATTGATATATTCAAGAATTATGAGAGTTAATAGTGTTAATTAAAGAATTTGAAACATAATTTGTGTATATGGACATGTTTAGGACGTACAGTCGAGTGCTTAAGACGTAAACCTCACACTTGAGTCTCAAGACGTTTTGCTAGATACAGAACGTTGGACATGTGTAGGACGTAACTCTTACGGAACTAATTAAACCTCACACTTGAGTATCAGGACGTCATATAATATTGATTGGAGTAATTTCAAATCAATTTTAAGAAAGGTGAAATGGTCTGGTGGACCCTTGTACTTGTATGCGCTTGTTTTGTGAACCCTTCTGCTTAACAATTTATCAACTAAACCATTAAAGTCAATAAAGATACAATATATTTAACCTTCTGACCATTGACCAGACTTTTATGACATTAAGATGGTTGAGTTGGCAAAAGAGTATGGCCACACACTGCACTTCATATTTAAATTTAAAAAATATTTTAAAATAAAATTTTCAATTATAAAAAAACTAAAAACTAAAATTAAAAAATTAATTTTTTTTAAAAAAAAAGGTATTCTTCTTCCTTCAACTTCAGCCGCCATCCTCATTCTTGTCCAACCCCTTTTTCCTTCTTCTATACACTTATTATCACCTTTATCATGATATTGACATCTTTTTTTTGACACATTTCAAGTTATTATTACGGAAAAAAGAAAGCGACGTTAATTTCATGGTGGTATTCATCGGAATCTACTGATTCAAAATGGAGTAAGAGAGAGACACGACACTGATCCTTTTTCACCAGAACAAGAGGCAGCAAGGGAGTTATTCGTACGACTGATAGGATGGAGAAAAGAGGCGGCCTCTGGTGGCTCGCAGATGTCGCCGGTGCTGTTTCAGCTTAGGATTACTAATTTTGTGGAGGTAGAAGAAAGAGGAAAGGAAAATAGTGAGGTTTGCAGTGGAGAAAAGAGGCGGCCTCTGGTGGCTCGCAGATGTCGCCGGTGGTGTTTCAGCTTAGGATTACTAATTTTGTGGAGGTAGAAGAAAGAGGAAAGGAAAATAGTGAGGTTTGCAATGGAGAAAAGAGGCGGCCTCTGGTGGCTCGCAGATGTCGCCGGTGGTGTTTCAGCTTAGGATTACTAATTTTGTGGAGGTAGAAGAAAGAGGAAAGGAAAATAGTGAGGTTTGCAATGGAGAAAAGAGGCGGCCTCTGGTGGCTCGCAGATGTCGCCGGTGGTGTTTCAGCTTAGGATTACTAATTTTGTGGAGGTAGAAGAAAGAGGAAAGGAAAATAGTGAGGTTTGCAATGGAGATGGAGATCTGCAGGTCTTGCCAGCATGAAAAGCGGTGGCGGCGACTACAGATTTAGATGTTACATTGAAGCGAAGTGTGAAGTCCCAAAATTTAACAAAATTGAAAATTTAATTTAATAAAAAACTTTTGTTTAATAATTTTTTAAAAATAAATAATAAAGATGATTATGACATGTAGTTAATTTATGTGACGTGGATTTAACATGTCATCTATTCAAGGCGAGTGAACTACACACATGATAAGGGGGGTTTGAAAATATTCGTTTGATTGAGTTTAAGGGTCTACTTGGTAAATAGTTAAGTAGAAGGGTTCACAATATAAATACATATAAGTATAAGGGTTTACTGGACTATTTCGCCTTTAAGAAAATCAAATTTAAAAAAAAAAAAAAAAAAAAAAAACATAAAACACGACTCCGCTGGGGATCGAACCCAGAATCTCTGGTTTCGTAGACCAGCGCCTTATCCATTGGGCCACGGAGTCATGTTGAAAGTAAATGTGAAATATAATTAAATTACTAATAAGTATTTCAAGTATATCAATTATTTGTGATGCCCAACATTCGATTTGGATGGGATTATTTTTATATATTTCCATAATGTTCTTTCTATTGTATTTTTATAGTACTATGTTATTTTAATAAATATAATGGTCAGATAATATATGTTGTTAATTTTTTATCGATATATATATCACACATCAATAATTTGAAGGATAATAAACAAGAAAAATATAGTACGAAAAAGGTAGAGTAAAAGATGTAATAGAATTATTAAATAATATGTAAAGAAACAACTAAGATAACAAAGAGATCACTGAAAATTTATCGTTTCACGTAAAATAAAAGGTTCCTTTATTCCTAACGATGTAGTGATAAGGTTTATGTACGCTCTACCTTCTTTAGATCTTACTTGTGGAATCTCACTGAGATGTTTGTTATTGATAATGATATATTTAACGATATGATAATAAAAATTAAATAACAATCAAAAACAAATAAATACGATCACAAATATAGAAAGCTTAATCTCTTGAGAATTATTTATTTAATATTTACATATATGAAATTACTCTTAATTTATCGTTGTTGTAACATTTGCTAGTTGCACTTTGGTGTTTTTTTTTGGGGGGGTGGGGGTGGGGGGGTGGGGTGATTGTGTTACCTCCTCTTCTTCACAAAAATTCTGTTGCTAGCCAGTCCTTGGTTCCAAATTGTATATACTATAACTACCAACTTGCTTTTATGTTTCCAAAGGGGCCTAGAGCCATTTCTTTGCTAAGAAAGAACTTGTAAAACCTTCTCTTTTGCCATTTTATTGCTTAATCGAGAGTCTGGTATATTAAGCTTTTATTTTATGTGAAATTTGGTAAGTTGGACTTAACTATAAAGTAGGGGCGGAGCGAAGTGGTTGTCAGGGTGTCCAATTGGACAACTTTTGCTAAAGAAAATATCGTATATACAAGTAAATGGTACATGATTAATAACATATTCTGGACACTCTTAATACAACAAGTTGTAGTCTAGTGACTTCAGACACCATGAATGAGGCAACGATCACGTGTTTGAATCTTACTAATAGCAATTTTAATTTTTCACACTTTTTTTTAAAAAAAATATTATATAATTTTTGAACATCCTTCATATAGTTTCTAGCTCCGTCACTATAATTAAGTATATAGTAAGGTCCACAAGAAAAAAAAACATGTATCCAACAAGTAGTACTCGAATAATATTTCAGAATGTCCCTATATGTCTAATATAAAATTTCCAAGAAATTCTTTGTTATCAATTATCCCTAAAATCTAAAAAGAATGAGTAACTATTTTACACTGACATATAGAAAGAGTCTTTTCTTCAAACTTCTTTTGAGTACTGAGATTCTTTCTATTACAAAAATAATAATAATAAAATTTTATAAATGAAGTCTGAAATAAGATAATGTGTTTTACATTTTGAAGATTGAAAGATGGTTTCCAGTCGATTCTTAATTGGAGTAAGATTTTTAAGAGGTTTGATTTGAATATAAGTTATGATGAGATCATTTATAATGGGATAGTTATGTTAGAATAGTCGTGATGAGATTATTTCTAATTAATTTATTTTTTTTGTTGTACTCAAACTAAATATTTAAGAACGAGTTATTTGTTTATAAAAATATCTTTCATTTTATTTAATTTTTGTATTTTCTTTACAAGTTTTAGTTATTCAATCCTAAAAATAAAAATTTTATCTTAATTATATTAAATATTTTTGTATGTATATTTTCATGATAATACTATATCTGTCTATATGTATTCAAATATAAATTTTCTTGTTATATACCTTAAAAATAGAACTAACATTTTAAGTTTGTTAAAGTAAAAAAGAATTGATCACAAATCAAAATATACTTAAACATAAAAAATTAGTCAAATAAATTCATAAATAAAAATATATTTATATATAATATACTTTTTAATAGAAAAATATGAAGAATTATTATAGAAAAATAAAGAGCAGGGAAGATTGTGAATGTTATTTTATCTGATATTAAAAATAATACATGAATATAAAAGATGTATAAATAGATTTTAAAATAATGTTTATTTCAGTTACCTAATTTATCTCAAAATTATGATACCACCAAAGGAGATGAATAACTTATCTAGCACTACTTATTAGTTCTGAAATAAATTATTCCAAACTTACTAACTAAGCAGAAAATTAAGTAACATTATAACTTAATTTCGATACTATATAATATTATTCTTTCCACCCGAAAAAAATTTAAAAATGTTTGAATTAAATTCCTTTTTCCTTTTAAACATATTATAATATCTTGTTGGTATGTTGATTTATTAGTTCAATGATTAGGATTGAGGATATTAAATCATGAATATAGAGGACAACAAATATGGTAATTAGTGAGAAGATCAATAAATAATTGTAATAAGTTAGATTTTTAGATAATTTTACTCGACTAATAAATATTATCTCATAAAATTATATTTTTTCTATTTTAATTTTTTTATAAACAAAATGATTTTGTGAAATAATAATTACCATATTAATTAAGTGATCATTTGAAAAATCAATTTCACTTCCTCAAGTCAATTTGCACCGGTGGAGTAGTTTTACTATCACTAGTTTATTAGGTTGTTAAATGTATGAATAAATAAAAGTATAATTTTTATAATGCATAAATATTTTTCAAAAGAATAGATGATATTGAATCACGTTTATTATTTAGTCTAATGATCATTTTATAAGTTTAATTAAATATCTTCATAGTCCCTAGGAAATGAGTGTCTTATTAGACGACTTACGAGTTTTTGTGGCCATAACAACAAATTCGAGTAATACTGAAGGATTCACAACAATCAAAGGTAGAATCAGAATTAGAAATTTATAAATTCTCATATTTATAGTCTATTTTAGCATATAAATTCACAATAAAATATTTTATTCACTTATCACATTTATATAAAGCCTAATGTAACAGAGATATCGGTAGATAAATGTTCAACTTCATCATCTTTTTAAAAAAATCAAATTTTTTTTTTTAGAAAAAATATTCCTTATTTTACACCCAATGTGAACTTTTTGAGTTCTGATATTTAGATATAAAATCGCTTTTATTAAGGTGTACATTGTTCCCTATATAAATTTCTTGGCATGAGTTATTTAAATTTTTATCAATTTTTAATTGTACAAATATCGAACATCAGATAAAAACGCATGGGATATGAACAAGTTAATCTCTCTGGATATACTAATGAAGACAAGAAAACACTGGAAAAAATCTGCTCATCTTTGATAACCAAAAAGAATCCTAAATAAACTCATATAATTAATTTAGAGTTCAAATTATCATATAATATTTTATTTATTATTATTTAAATATTAATAATAAGTAACGTATTTTAAAAATTAAATATTTTAAAAAGTGAGCTAATGATATAATTCTTTGATCACTCGAAAGTTGTGTATTATTTTATTGCTATGGTGCTTCTTGGAAACATCAGTAGTGTAGCAAGATGAGGTCAAAATTATACCAATCAACACTCTCAATACCTAGATTGACGTAAATACTTTTTTTTCGATTTTATTCGATGTTCAATATTTATTTTACGACTTTTAATAAAAAATATACTAATAATTATAACATTTTAAAATAATGCACAACTTCCAATTGATCAAAGAATGATAGGGACATGTACATATTCTAGTTGTAAGACCTGATTTTCTTTTTTCACTTTCCTATTCGACGTATAATTTTCACTTTATAAAATTTCATATAAAGATGAGTTTAAAATTTACAAAAAAATATACTTATAATTTTATAGATTCTTATACTATAACAATTTAAAATAATACACAACCTCCAATTGATCAAAGAATGATAAGGACATGTACATATTCTAGTTGTAAGACCTGATTTTCTTTTTTAATTTCCTATTCAGTGTATAGTTTTCACTTTGTGAAGCTTCATATATACACGAATTTAAAATTTAAAATTTATGAGTTTTTATAATGGACTTTTATATATAATTGCTAATTGATCAAAAAATGATAAATACATGTAGATATTCAGTCACAAAGGCATGAATTTCTTTTTTCATTCCTTATTTGATATTTAGTATTAGTGATCTATGCCAATATAGATGATTAAGAATTTAAAGTTTAGAATTCAATAATAAATAATTCTTGAGTTCTTGGTCAAATATATACAACAATAACATTCTCGACGTAATTTTACAAGTGATATTTTGAAAGATATATAGGATCATAGAGATCGTATTTCTATTTTTGTAGAGTAGAAAGATTATTTCTGATAGACTTTCAGTATAACAATATATTATAAAAAGATGGAATAAGAAGACGTAGTTCCAGAACGAACAAGATACGGGTTGAAAATGAGGAGTTAACGAAGTTAGAAAAGATTGGAATGGGTATAGAAATATGTATTGTTGTATCAGATCGACCAATGCTCCTAGGTTGATGCAATGCATTTCGTCAATTGACTGAAGACTTCATTATTAGTATGTCGATCAGTCCAGCACGGATTGAAATAGGATTCTTTGTTTACGTTTAAAAAATAATATATTT